CGATAAAATTTATGCATACATTTTAACGAACCGGAATGTCAGTGGTGTGGGGTTTAAAAATAGAATTTTGCAAATTTATCATGGTATGAAACGTGTAGACTTTAAAACCTTAATTTAATGATGAATCATACCAAAAGTATGGAACTACATAGCACTGCCAGTCGTGTAATCACAAGTTTGTCGTGTGTATGTATGAGATTTATCATGGTATGCAATGTGTCGGCATCAGGAGCCTTTTATTATGAATCATACCAGAAGAATGGAACTACACAACACATGTTAATGTTTGGTGTCAACGTGGTTTTGGGTATGGTTCGTGTTTTGGTTAATATACGATTCTAAATTGATATAGACAAGGCTACGTAAACAGTTTGTTCCAACAGGAATTAATCCACTACAATTAGTCATGCTGTAAAACTGTTGAGTAGTGTGGTTTTGAATTGGGGAAGTTAAAATTCAACTTTTCGTTTGTTATGTACAAAATATCTCATGGTATGCAATGTATAAAAGCCTCTGGTTATATTGTGAATCATACCAGAAGTACTGAATTACACAACAAAAGGGAAGTGTTTGATTTTGCTGCTATGTCTGGTATGGCTGGTATGAACTATTATATATATATATATATATATGTATACTACGACTACTACTAGGACGGCGAGTACTGCTAGACTACTATTCCTACTGCCACTGCTACTTTATCGATTACGACTGCTGCCAGCAGGACTACGAGGGTTTCAGGTGGAGCTTGAACATGTGTTGTGGGACAGGCGTCGCTCCTGTTCCTTATTATATCGCTGCCGAGCAGGGCAGGCGAGGCGCCTTTGCAGTGCAAGGGTTGCGATCCTGCGCAGTGCTGCTTGTGACAGGGTTTCCGAAGGGTTCTTGTTTGATGTTTGCTTGATTTTTGCCAACGAGCTGCTGCTCCCACGTTGTGCATGCAGTGCAGAGTTCACATTCTCGAGCTTTCGTACATTGACTGTTTCGATCCTTCTAATCGTGATGGCGCTTTCCTCGAACAACGCGTTGGTGGCAAAGGCGGGGCAGGCGAAGGCGCAGGGGCAGGCACCAACACCAAAGGCGCCGGCGCCCAAAGTCGTCGAGCCCAAGAAGACACCGGCGCCGGCGCTTGCGCCAGGTGTCGTGCCGGCTGCAAAGAGGACTAAGGGGCCGCAGGTGCCAGCGATCCCACCACTGCCGACCCTTCCGGTTGGGAACGATCGCCACCAGGCGCAGGCGACCCGTGTGGTGCAGGACCTGGTGCCATGGGTGCCTGAACTGAATACAGATGTGTTTCTATAAATATATTACTATACTAGTATATGATTTTTTGTGATTATGTATTATAGGTGCACATATGTACACATGTGTACATGTATGTATGTATGTATATGTATGTATGTTCATATATGTGTATGTGTATTATATATTCTTTACATAATGAAACATACAAGTGCTTTCATGTTTTCTTAAGTTAAACAGGTTGTGTGTTGCTTGTTTGGACTTGTTTAGCTCACGGGGTATTTATTTCTTTTGTAGCTTTGATTTGGTGAGGTCGAGTACAAGCTGGCCGAAGCGCTGGTGAAGATGGGCTTCTACGATGAGGCGCCGGCGCTGGCTGAGCTTGAGCCGCTGTCGATCAAGGACAGGGATGTCGCTGGCGGGGGCGTTGCATCCTTCAAGGAGAAGTGGTGCCCGCGCAACTGCGCCACAGCGGCCCGGGCCTCCGGCTTGCACGAGGCCGCTGGGAGCCTGTTTTGGGTGCCGGCGGGGGCGCGGGCGCAGGAGGTGCTGCCTGTGCAAGATTGCACATGGGCGCAGGTGGAGGAGTTGAAGCCTCTTTTTGAGGAGGCGCAGAAGCTGGCGCGGGTGGTGTTTCCGGCAACCTTGAGTGCCTGGGTGGAGGACATTTCTGTCCTCTACCCGCCGGGCGCGGGCGAAGGCGACTGCATGCCGAAGGCACTGACGCTGGTGGAAAATCACGCGTTGGTGGTGGCGTGGTGGTTGGCGATGTTCGAAGCCCTCAGGGCGGAGAACCAGGACCGCGTCCGACTTCTGTACGAGTGTGCACTGACAGTCACGATCCGGCTGTATGTGGGGACGAGCAAGCAGGCGCTGGCGCTGATGCTCTGGCAGGCGACAGACAAGAAAAAGCAGGTGCTGGCGGTGGCGGATGACAACGTCATCACGTTTGCAAAAAAGTTCCAGATCATCGTGGAGAATTGTGGGGTGATTTGTCATATTGGAAAACAATATTAATATACCAACGCATGCTTTACCTATTCAATTAATTTTTGATATGATTATATGTAGTATTGGTATGTATGCTGTGTGAGTTGCTTTTATCCTCAAAGGTGAAAGGAATCGGAAAGCAGCTGGAGCACTGGAAGGCGATCGGCCTCAACTTCATGGGGAAGCCGGTGTATCGAATGTTGCACTACGCTCTTCTGGCGATTGCGCAGCTGTCAGACAAGGCGCAGGCGTTGTTGCAGGAGCTGGAAAGCAAGGCCGGGCGCGCGATCTTGACGGAAGGCCACTCCAAGTTGCACAACGTGATGCGACGCGCAGGCGCTGGCGCGGACAACTCAGAAGCCATCGATCCGGTGGTGGCACTACTGGTAAAGTTTTGTACATGCCATGTGTCTATGTCTTCATAATAAGCTAAGATGTTGAGTTCCTCCTTAATTATTCGGCATACACTGCTTATACACATCCCAGGAACAGCTGCTGCACCTCCTGCTTGTTGAGGTGGACGGCGAGAAACTGCAGGCGCAGGACGCGACCTCGGACTTCTTCGAGGGCGGCAGAGGCGCCGGCGCTGGCGTGGGCTGGGTGGCGATGTCGCTTTGCAAGCTGGCGGTGTTGGGGAAGGTGTGCGGCGTGCTGAGCACCTCGGAGGAGGCGTGGGCGAGCCATGCCTTGCAGCAGATCAATGATTTGGGGAAGGCGAGGCAGGCGCTGGCGAAAGCAGCGGAGGCGGAGTCTGTGAAAGTCTCAGAGGACGGCCTCTGGTCTGCTGTGTTTTCCTCCAAGGACGCGGTCCCGCCAGGCTACGCGGCCGACTTCATCGCGTACGTCAGCAACTTGTTGGGCGGCGGCTACGACGCGGACCTCAAAACCTTCAATGACAAAGAGGACTTGGTCGCGCAACTCCTTGCAGGCGAAGGCGACAACCCCGTGCTGAAGGACTGGCGGGAGGCCCTGGACACCCTGGACAGAGGGGTTTCCGGCTTGAGCACCGGCGTGGTGGCGGTTGATTCGATCCAGGAGGACTCGCTGGCGTCGGCACCCTTGTCACTGCTGATGCAAAAGTGCGCCGCCGGCGACGACCTGGAGGAGGTCAGGGAGACTACTCGCCGAGAGCGGGCGGAGGTGTTGGCAAAGGCGCGGGGGCTCAGAAAAGGCCTGTGCCAGTTGTTGGTGCTGCCACAGGCGTGCACCAAGGAGGCGTTGCAGTCGGCCTTGGCCCGTGCAGGTGCAGGCGGAGCTGGCAACTTCCACGGGAAGTTGAACGAGAAGCACCGCGGCTACTTTCTCATGGCCGACCTGGAGCATGAGGAGAAGCAGGGCTGGGCGCAGGTGTCAGAGATGAGCGGCTCTGTCAAACAGCGGTTTTCGCAGAAGTGCGCCTTCTTGAAGGGGCTGGCAGGGTCGTGCGACTTCGTCTTCGTCGGCGATGGGCGCTGTCGCGCGGCACGTGCGACGATCGAAGAGGCGCTGGTGAAGGACCTGGACTACACGCAGTTCTTCGAGCTTTGGGTGAGCTTCGCAGGCCCATGTGTGCGGGCGTCAACGCGGCAGGTGGTGGGCGGGCAGGTGAACAAGGAGATCATCTTCGTCAAGCTGCCGGCGCCGCGCGTACGCCTGGCCGCCGTGGAGCGGCAGGCAGCATACGGATGTTTCAGTTTTTCATATCATATGTTTAGGATATCAAGGTTTCCCTGATTGAATATAGTATTGAGTTTTTTTTTTTTGTATAGTTGGAAAGCAGGATGACTTTGTCTCCAAGAGCAGCGGCGCTGGCGCGAAAGTCACGACGGCGGACACGAACTACGTGAACGTGCCGTTCCTGGCGTCGGCGAAGCTTCCCACGCTGGCGTGGGCGGACAAGGCCGAGATCCTTGGCATGAACGCGGATGCGGCGCCGGCGGACCGAGCACCGGTGTGGCAGGCGTTGGTGAAGAACCATATGGTGAAGGATGTCGTCGACCTGTCACCTGGTTCTGGGGCGCTGGCGTCGGCGTGCCTGTCCATGGGCATCCGGTACACGGGCTTCTGCGGCAACGAGAAGCACCGGAAGTGGCTGGAGAACCTGGTGGACAGGCAGGCGCTGGCGCTGGCGGCGACAGAGGGGCATGCCCTCTGGACGCAGTCGCTGGCGGACCTCATCCAGCTCCACTTCAAGGATGTGGTCGCAGGCGATGGCGGGGATGGCGGGGATGGCGGCGGCGACGACGGCGACGAGGAGGGCGAAAACGAGGAGGATGGCGAGGAGGACGAAGTGCCGCTTATGGATGCCGAGTGAACAGGCGGTTCGTGACGCCGGCGCGGGCGCGGCGCTTATATGGATGCCGAGTGCACAGGCGGTTCGTGATGCCGGCGCGGGCGCGGCTTAGATCGTCTTTTCAGCCACCTCAGCCAGGCAAGGCTGGGAGCAACAGAGCAGGCGCTGGTGGGAGCAAAACAAAGCTTGCCTGGCCCGCACTTGCATTGCTGACAGTTGTCTTGGCTATGCATGACCATTTTCATGTCAGGATCCGTATACATGATTGTAGCACGAGTGTGCTTGAGACTGATGAGAGCCGGTATGATGTATATCATAACAATGAATAGTTTTTGTATATTGAGATGTACATCACATTGTATGTTCACGTTCTAATATGAATTAGTATTGTCTCAGTGTTTATGTCCATTGTTGTATTAACATAGACTAAGAACGTTGTCCAGAAAGTTTTCTGAACGGTGGCTGCAGACGTTGAATCGCGGGAGACGGCGTGGGGATGGCTTTGCCAACTCCGCTTAAGCAGTTCCTCCGGGGGTGGGGAAGTACCACCCGAAAGCGAATGCAGGCAGCAGCTCGGGATGTCCTGGAAAGCAATGGGCTGCAGCTGTCGCAGCCGCCGGCGCAGGCGCTCGGAAGTGATTGCTGCGGCATGTCTGCGGAGGTGCTGGCGATGAGAGAGCTGGGTTTTCAGCATAGCGTTGTGTTTGCCAGCGACATCTGCGAAGGCGCAGGCTCATTCTGCCGGGCGAATGCTCCTGCCGGGAGCTTTTTCGGGGATGTCCTGGCCAGGAAGGCGTCGGCGCTGGCGCACATGCGCATCCACGGCTACTTCGCAGGGTTTCCCTGCCAGCCATGGTCCCGGATGCGGCGCAAAGGCGGGCGCAGGCGACGGGGATGGAGCGATCCCCGTGCTCGGGTGTTCGTGGCGTGCCTGCAGGCGGTGGCGCAGACACAGCCCCTGTACGCGATCCTGGAAAACGTGCAGGGGATCATGTGTTTCTGGGCGTCGGTGTCGGCGAAGGTGCAGGCGATGCTGCCGGGCTATCGGCTGGGCAGAGGGCTTCGACGGCCACGCGTCTTCATCCTCTGCCTCCGGGAGGATAGCCTGATGGTTGGGTGCTGGCGGACGACGAAGGCGCTGGTGGCGGCAATGCTGGGGTCTGTTGCTGAGCAGAAGATGCAGCAACCGCTTTCCATGTTTTTGCTTCCGTCGGCGTCAGCGAAGGGGGCGGCAAAGCAGATGAAGAAACCGGTGGTGGCGAGAGCGCAAGCGAGCAGGAAGACGACGGCGACGGCGAAGTGGATCCTCAAGCACCGCGAAGCCCAAAGGAAAGCCGGGAAGTTGCCGCCCCTGCGCAAGCTTTCCTTTCTGACAGCAAGAGAGGCGGAAGTCTTGCAGTTGGCCGAAGCCAAGTTGGGCCAGGACAAGGTGTTGGCGG